AAAGCCCTTGGAGCAGGTTGGGTGAAAGTGGCCATAAAATTACTCATTATCATATTTCTAGTCTGGACTGAAAAGTTTGAGCTTTCCCTTCTTTTTCACTCAACCGTGCTTTCTTTAGAAGGCATATATGACGGTTTGATCCTGCTCCTTGCTTAAGTAAGACCATTTTTTTCTACATAATAACACAAGTCCAGAGCGCATGTTCCACTTGTGCTTTTCTGAAAAGTTACCACAGTGGTGTCATGCCATGTTACAAATGTGATCAAACTGTTTATGCCAGTAGCAGTCCATGCCCTGATTAAACCTCAAATAATAGCTAATGCTGAAGAAACTGCTGAGCTGAAAAAGCCAGCCCTCCATCCTGCTTGTCAGAAAAAAAACTGGTTAGATCTAACTTGCAGTTAGATCTAGTGTAGCAGCCCTAGCAGTGTGGCTCAAGTCTGGGGAGATGTTCAGGTCCTTTTATTTTGTCTTAGAAAACCATACTGTAAGAAATTACTTAGTCTAGCTGGGATTTAATAAAGCAGTTATATTTTATGTTGTGGAAAAGTATGTTGATGGAAGAACATATTCTATGAGAAATAAGCTGTGCCCTCTCCTAATGGTTGTCTCCCTCTCCTGGTTTCAGCAGTAGCAGTCATTTTTCTCCTTCTTGGTAGCTGGTGCAGTGCTGTGTTTTGACTTTTGGCCTGGGAACAGAGCTGATAACAATGATGTTTTGGTCTGGCCAAGGACTTTGTGAGCCTCATGTTCTGCCAGGGAGGAGAGGAAGCCAGGAGGAAGCAGAGACAGGACACCTGACCCAAACTGACCAAAGAGGTATTCCATACCACAGCACGTCATGCCCGGGGTGTAACTGAGAGTTACCCAGAAGGGCTGGGACTGTGGGGGTTAGAGGAGGTATCGGTCGGTGCTTGGTCGGGCTGAGGGGGGTGAGTTATCAGTCAGCTGGTGCTGAGGTGTTGTATTCTCTTCCCTTGTTATTTCCTGTATCATTATTATCGTTGGTGGTAGCAGTAGTTATACCTTAGGTACTAAACTGTTCTTATCTCAACCCGTACGAGTTGCATTCTTTTCGATTCTCCTTTCCATCCCTCCAGGAGTAGGGGGAGGGAAAAAAAGGGGGGGGGGGGGTAGTGAGTGAACGTGCTGTCTGACTGGGTTTAAATCACGACACTCCCTTAGGAAGGAGGGCTGTTGGCTGTGAGGACTTGCTATTGCACTGCTTTGCGGTCACGGTTCTCACTGCTATTAATTAACGGGAGTCAGCAAACCCTGCTTGAAGAGGGAAAAAAATCAAATCACTCCTTTCCTTCCCTTCTTCAAAGCTTTTGTAATTTTGTGAATACTGCAATTACTATTTTGAAATCAGTAAGCTCCAAATTGTCAAATTACATATATACTTATGTTAAAAAAAAAAAAAATTGTGGTAATGTAAATTCATTGGTACTAGTAGGAAGTACAGTGGTGCGAAATGAAATCAGCCACATTGCTACTGGAAAATCTGTGGTGATTATCAAGCTACTAGAAGGTTCAGGGATTATTCCCAATTAATTTGATATACATGATATTCATTGCCTTTGCTGTACATACTAGTTATTCATATACTAGCCGATAAAAATTAAGCTATCCATAAGCCTGAAGGCTCTACTTTCATATGCAGTTTAATATGCCAATAAGGACAATGCAATTTCCTGAGGATGAATAACTAGGGGCTTGCTGAGAGCTAATGTGCCAAGGTGTGCACAGAAACAATCACAACCTTCTGGTCATTAATCCCTGGGATCAGCATGTTCTGATTATTACTATGTAATTAGTTAATAAAGCTCCTTTCAAAGTGGAAGAGAACTGCTTTCTCTGAGAACAATGTGCATTGCATCATCATGCTTTATTCATTCTGGATGAATCTGATTCTCGTTTAAGAGGATGTATTCTGGGAACTTAACATCTCTACTGACATGTGTCTGTTGTTTCCAACACTGCAAAACAAAACATGGTGATGATTATGGATTATTTTAATCTTAAGCAAATTTTTAAGAAGCAGTTTACAGTGGGATCAGTGTTTGGATTGGGTATAAAAAGTAGAGATGAATGAGGGAAACTGATATTTCAGAGACAGACGTTTGCATATGTGACTTGGAAGAAGATGACATGTAATCTGAACAGCAAATATTTTCACTTTCTGATGTCCAGAAATGGGGTGATATTTGATTTAATTTTTACTTTAAATTACTATTTACAACCAATTTTTTAAAAAATAATTGCTTTGAAGAGTAGCTAGTTTAAAAAAAAAAACAAACAACAAACCCAAACCATAAATATTGGTCTGTTTTTATTTAATGCATATGTTGCATGACATTTAAATGTAAATTGCCGAGTCAACGAATTTGGAACTCAAAACAACTTAATATTAGTGCTTTTCATGTCAGCTGACAGAGCAAATTCATTGAATAGAATATTCACAGAAACAAATACAAATAAACCTCATCGTAGTAATTGATGTAAAATATTGTAATTATTGTAAAATATTAAATGAATACTTACAGATTGGGGCTTGGCTTTGTTTTGTTTTGGTTTGTTTTAGTGTTCTGTTTTGTGTTTGGTTTTGTTTTGTTTTGTTTTGTTTTTTCCCAGGAGTACTTGGCCCAGGTTAACTGATTAACTTCTGAAGCTAGAAAACAGATCCTTCCCACTCCTCTGTGGAAGTTTGATGAGTTCAGAAAAAGCAGTTGAGGACTAAATCCAGCCAAAAATTGTCTCAATCCCCAATCAGTAACAGCCTGATCTCCTTCATCATTAAATAGGTCTTTTTTAAGATACAGGTCACCGAATCACAGAACGGTTGAGTTTGGAAGGGACCTCTGGAGATCTAGTCGAACCACAGTATAAGGCTTCCCACAATGGAGCTGATATGGATTTGTATAAGTAATGAACAAAAATGTCTTTCTCCTAATACCATTAAATCAGTAGTTTATTTTAATTACAAATCTCTGATGGAATATTAATGGAAACATCTTTGTAGCCTTTTATCGTACAGCAAAACCTGAAGAAAAGATCGATTAGGTAGTGGGAGTCCAGCGTAGGGCAGTCAGGACACTTAGGGGCTGGAGCATCTGCCCTGCAAGGGTAGGAGGGCAGCCTTAGAGACAGGGCTACTTCTGCCTGAAGAAGGGAAAGCTCTGGGGACACCTCAGAGAAGCCTTCTGCCTACAGACAGGTCCCTAAGAAGATGAAGCCAGGCTCTCCACAGGAGTGCAAGGCAGCAGACTGAGGGTCTAAGATGAAACAGAAACAACCCACAACATATATAAAGGGAAACCTTTTTCCATGTGGGAACAGTCCAGGGTGAAGCAGACTGTGAAGAGAAGCGTAGTGTCTGTGTTCTTGGAGCTTTTCATGATGGGGCTGGAGAAAGCACCAAGCCATGTGGACTAACATTCTTGCAGCTGCTGTTACGAGCAGGTGGTTGCTCTGGGATTTATCTTGGTGAGGATTCCATTGTGTATATCTGCTCTCTACTGACTTCTCAGATGCATTGTCCCTTATTTACAGTCTTCTGCTGCTAATGTGCAGACTTTCTACATAATTGAGTTTGTTTCATGTTTTAGCTCATTGCTTGGGTTATAAGCAAGCTGCTGTGCACTGGAGTTCTAGAAACTATAGCTGATGATGGTTTTTCATATTTCAAGCAACATTTTTCCTTGTTATCTTGTAAGAAACATTCCAACTCATTAGCCAGTTCATGTGCTTTGAAGATATTTTAGAGCACTCATTTTTCAATCATGACTTTGTGAAGAACAATGTCAACACCATTCAAGACTTTGTCACCTTCAACCACTCAATAAATTTTAATCAACAGTCTGGCAAGGCTTGTTTTCCATAAAATCACATTGAGTCATGTTGATTATTGTCTTCCTCTAATTCTTTATTAATTAAATCCTATGACAGATTAGATAGACTCTGCCTAACAGGAGCCAACAAAGGCTTACTAAGATGTTTCTCCAGCTACAACTAAAGAACATTGAGTCAGGAAAAAGGAAGAAGGTTAACAAGGATCACAGAAAAGGCAGAAAGCTGGGGATTAGGTCAAAAAGTCCTTAACATTTGAGATTTGCTGTATCTTCCTGCTTACAGAGCAAAAACCATCAATAAATGTTTGGGCAGAATGAAGATCAGCAGTGGCAAATGCGTTGCCATGGCAGATGTAGGATCGCTCATTTTCTGTGGGTTGAATCTCCTACAATTGATTGTTTGATTTCACACTATTTTGTCTGAGATTGCTATCAAATTAAGCCACCATCTGTCATTCTGTTTATTCCTACTGAAGTGTGGACAATGTCGCAACTCTTCCAGCAGGTATTTTCTCTTGCTTCTCCTAAAATTTATTTTAATAGAGGAAATCAACTGTCCAGACTCTTCTTTAGAAAATTTGCTTCATGACTTGTGAAAAAGTTATCTGGCCCTTCTGACTCAAGAGTTTGTCCCCTACCAATAGCTTGGTGTGCTTCTTTGGTTACTGCTGGCCTGGGAATTATTTCACTGTCATGAAAATACTTCATCTAGTACCTCATCTTGCCTTTTGCCAGATGTAAAGCAGTAGATGATTATAGAAAAGCTGTTACTAATGAGGTAGAAAGAGTTGTTAAAAAATTGGGTGCCCACCTTTCTTTCTTTCCTCTTTTTTTTCTTAAAACACTTAAAAGGAATTTGCTTTGATCTTTGCCCTGCCTGCCATGGATTTTTATCTAACGTCATTAACTTGTCTTATTACACCTTCCCATTACAATCTGAACTGGACATCATATTCATTTTACCTGTTCCTCCTTGTTTCCTTATTAGATACCTATTGTCTAGCTGGCCCTCATTTATCCAATAGGAACTTTTGCTCAAAAAAAGTTCTCTGCCTTGACTGTAGATTTTTGACCATCTAAAACTTTTCTTAAAGAGCTAATTTATTCTTATTCCTTCTCTTTTGTCTGATCTTTTCTTTCAGGTGAAGTTGCCTAAAACTTTCCTCACATACAAGAAAAGAACTATCTCCTTTTTATCAGTACTGATGTTAATCCATGAATCTTACAGAATTTAAGAACTGGAGGAGGTAAAACATTTAGACCTCAACAGAATACTAAGTGGGAATGTAAATAATGAAACTTTTAGAAGAAAATCAGCTTTGTTCAATTATGTTTTAATGTTAAAATTCAAGAACATTAAAAGAAAGTTTAAAAAGACCCCACAGAAACAGCAGTTAGCAGTCTGAAGGGATGAACAGAGAAGGATACGAACTAGCAGCATGCCAGGCAGCATCCATGTCAAAGATGCAAATTTTAGAACAGCAAACTGACTCAGACCAGTCTTATTGTCCACATATATAATCTTCTAATTGGTCTATTGTGTTCAAGATATTTGTATGTGTCAAATATGGAAAAAAGGAGCTAAAAACCAGAAAAGCAAACCAACTCATAGGTGGTATAACCATCTTTCAAGTTTCTGTCCAGTCCAGTTAATATTGTTGTTATTGTTACTCTGGACTTCAAGCCCCTAAGTTGAGCAATGGCGCCTGTGATATGTTGTAATTCTTCTACCTATGTTATACCTGCTTTATTCCTCTTAACCTGGTTAAAAGCAATGTTTTGAACATTCCAGATATGCAATTCCTCCCACTAGATTTCTGTAATGCCAATTATATTAAATGTCATCTTGTAAATGAGAAATTTCCAACTCTTTTTGCTTCTTACTGCAAGATCTAACAATTTGGATGATATTTCTTTTCACTTTTTCTGTCATTTTAGGTCAATTTGTTCATGATTTGCTGAGTTAATGTCTGTGTTATATTTGTCTCCTTTGCATAATTCCTTCTATTTTTTAAAGCATTACTTCCTTTACTGCTGTGCTTGCCTCCATTCCCAATAATTCTTGCTGTGACACAGAAGATACTGGTCACCTCGTCTTTCCAAAAACTCTTCTGTTTAAGACTCTGTAAAAAAGAAAACCCATTTCTCTCCACTAATGTGAATAATGATGTGTCTCCATTATTTTTACCTTTTTCTCTTCTACTCTTGGGGGCAGAAGAAATGGATACAAGCTTTTTTCTCACATCTGTCTAGCTTTGTTTGATACGATATTGGTTTCAGGGTGTATCATCATTAGTAGCTGTTTTCCGGATGTCTTCATAATTCTATCGATTACTGCAGTTCAAGTAGAAAAGTGAGGATTTGTGCTTTTCTCCTCCAAAAAAGATAGCACAAACTATCCTTTTGTTCTTGTGCCACTGAAAGGAATGGTGTATAATCATGACATTGACAACTGTTATTTATAATCTTGATATAGGTGAAGAACTTCTCTTGTTGATACTTGCTTCATGCTACAAGGATGACTAGCAGGTTATGTCCTGTTAAGCTGAGTTTAACTTCTTCACAGACAGATTTCTTGGCATGTGACTTGCCAACAACCCAGTAACCACCTGTTGTCCCCAGCCACATTGAAAAATATTTCTATTTCTCACCTTTGGAGAGCAGTCTCCAGTCTGCACTGTACATGAGGACGACACCGGGGTATGTAGGAAAATAGTGGCTTTGTCCAGTCTTGTGGGTAGTCCTGAATATCACCAAGAACTTTAAGTGACTTTATTTTGACATTTCAATTAGTTGCGTATTGAAAGGGTCATTTGCTCTGGACGAACACTGGTATCTGCCTAGTTTTGTAAAGGACACTTTCAAACTGATAAAGGCCTTAGTTGAAGTTTCCTCAGTGGTATGGCTGAGAACTACAAGGTCACTTTTTTTTCCTACAGCTTGAGAAACACAAGGTACCAGTGGGGTTACCACAAAACTGCAGAGCATATCTTCGTTATTTATGCATAAGCAAACACAGAGATGCTAGCAGAGTTAAAAATCAAACCATACGAGACTATAGTGATACTTCTTAGTATTTTGTTCTTGCCAGTGGATAAACCAGTGCAATCATAGAGATGAGAAATATTGGAAGTTCCTATATTTGGTCAATGACTGTTAAATACCATCCAGAGAAAATATTTCCTTCAGAGGGAGGGGCTTGAATAACTGCTTCTTTTAAGTAAATATGATATCACTTGCATTGAATTCTGAGCTGCAACTGGGTGTATGAGAAAAGCTTAGACCCATGGTTATTGTGTAAGCAGTGATATTGCAGCATTAACTGTGAGGCATGGTCTTGACCAGCATAGAAGAGAAAGGGGAAGAATTGTGCGTAAATGAGTATAAACCAGCAAGGGCCAAAATTACTCTGCAGAAACAAAATTACATTTCGATCATGCAAGACTGTGCTATGTATTTTAAATGACAGCCTGCATTTTTTTTTCATGGAAAAAGATCACATACACCTGATGCTGTTACTCCTCTAAACTCTGAGCATCTTCCTTCTGAGCCATGCTGCTGTTCTGCCAAATTCAGACAAAGATATTGAAGAAAAGAAAAAGTGAAAGGAAAGAAAAATAAAAAGCTCAGGAACTCTTTAGAAGCTTGAAGTTTATCCCTACATGCTGGTGTGAAGATTTCCTTAGGTGCTTACTTACAAATGGAGCAAGAGGCAACCTCTGTCCAGTCTGGGGTTCCTCAAGGACTGCAAAACTGATGTGACTCACATCCCTCTGCCCCAGTGCAGAAAGGCAGCAGTTGATCTCTTTCCTTGATGCCTGAAAATCTCATGCCTGATATATTCCTTGGGCAAATCAACCATAAAAGCAACTATACTGAGAAGCAAAACAACGAAACCAATGAGTTTCTTACTATTTTACCAGGACACTGTAAACAGCAAGCCGGAGGCAGCATGCTTTGGCTTAGCGATGTGGCTGAGGGACTGGATATTGATATGAATGAGAGAAAGGAAAGATTAAGAGAAGTTGCTAAGCAACCAGGGGAAATTATTCTTGGAAATGACATTTGGACTGAAAAGGGCCAATGTCTGACCTAAGTCTTCCTGCAGCAGAGGGCTTAACCTAATAAGAGTGCTATGCACAGTTATCTGCAATGGGCTATTCACTGTCTTAAATGGAAGTTACTTAATAGCAAGAAAACTAATCTGAAGATGGAGAAGCTGTAACTCGCAGAAGTGAAATGGGCTAAGATAAAACTAAAGGGGAAAAACAGAATAATAACTGCTTGCAGCAAGAGAGCTAAAGTCCTGTCATTGCTAAAGCTAGAGCACAGGCAGCAGTGGTAGAAAGAGCACATAACTGATCAGCACATCAAGTTACATTGCTTTATTTACAAGTGGCATGTTCGGTATTTTTTGTTTAAGAATACAATAGAATAGATGATCTTAAGGTGCTTTCCAACCCTAAGTATTCTATGATTCTATGAATATCTTGGGAAACATAGCACCATGCAAAAAGGAACAGAATTATAATGGATTGCAAGAGTCACTTTTGCATGGGCCTCCCAAATTCATGTTCATTATAAAGAATGGTTATTGCTTGTTCGCAATGGTGAAAAAGAGTGGGACTAGTCCCCGGACAGCACTGCATAGTTAACCTGATAGCACACTCATATACACCTGTGTGTATGTATGCCACACACAGAAATGTGTTGTGCGGTGTTTCACTGGCAAGACCAAGATCTTTAAAGGAAGCTGGGGAACAGATGGGGACCAGATTTGATCAACAGCAGTGGCAAAGCACCTAATCAACCACTAATTTCAATGGGAAATTGAGTATTTGGTATCTCAGGGATTTGGCCACAGTTCCTACCAAATGGCTTAGACTCTCACCTCCAATTCTAGACAAAGTCAAGCGTACAGGAATGAAGCTTTTATTTCAAATAGTTCTAATGATCAAAGTGTCTTATGGACAATAGTCTGAGCTGATAAAGTCTATTATACTACTGTAAATTGCCTTATGGCATTGTGGTGATAGAATTAGTTTACTCTGGTGAAAGAGAGAAGTCTGGAAGAGCTGAACCAAGCTCTTGGTTTCACCTGGTGAGAAGGAAGCTGTGGGCAGTCCCATGGAGCAAAGAACAGGCTCACATAAAGGTGATGAAAAATCCTTTCTGAGGTCCTAACTTTTACATTTCCGGTTTAATCATATTGTCTTGCATGACTCCTTTAATCTAGCTCCATGTTTTCAGCTAAGTAATGTTAAATTTTTTACTAACTGGAACCAAGAAGCTGATTTTGCACATTTCTCTAGTTTGGACGTTTGCACTGGTATGAAAAGACCATATCAGACAGACGTTCTTGTAAAACTCACTGAAGGGGTAATGGTTTTTCTGTTACAAAATCAGCACACCAGCATGAGGAAGGAAAAACAGATTTAAAAGCAAAGAATATATTTGTGGTTTAACTTTGATGCTGATCTCATGAAATGTTGAGGTCTAAATGGCCTATCATCATCTTATCCTCGTTTGCTATCCCTGTAGCCTCAGAGACAAACAAAGAGAGATGACATCTCTTAATCTTGAATCGCTTACCTGTCTTCTACTTCAGCATATATTGTATGCTTACATCTCTGCTCCACACAGAAAAAATAATGCCAAGCAGTGCATGCTGTCAACATTTTAAAACATGTCAAAATCCTGAAATGTTATGCACTGACTATGCATCAGAAAAGAAAAAAAATTTGAAATGATGAACAAACTTTTGACTGAAATATCCTGTTTTGCATCCACAGAGATCTTGGATGAGAGACTAGTCTATTTTTCTCAAGTAGTTCTACCCAAGATGGTTTCCTTCAAAAATGAAAATCCAGTTGGGAGCAAAAAAGTAAACAAGCTTGTTTTCCAGTTTGTAAGTAAAAATTAGGTCTGGAAATGAAATTTACTTGTTCTAAAATCTTGAAGGGCACAGTCACCAGGAATAATCTCTTCAGTTCATTATATTTTTTAATAAATAACCTTTTACAGTAGAATATGATTTGGTAAGCTTATTTTTTATTATGTGTCCAGCAAATTTAAGGCTATTTAACAAATAATACTACTTTTAAATTCTCCTGCATGTAATTTAGCTGACCTCTAATTTTCTTCTAAGTGTTGCTTTGACATACCACAAATGCAAAGTTCTTAGAGAGAGGGCATTTGCTATTTACATTTATGTAAGCAGCTATTGGATTGTAAATGGTTATATAACTTCACACAATTATTGTCTTACTTAATCTTCTAAAGACAC